GGGAGTCTGGGAAGCATGGCTTTTACCTTCTGAGCCTCCACAGAGCAGATAAGCACCTTAGATGACACTGAGATGATATTAGAAATGATTGACAGCGCCTACTACAGACAATGAACAGAATCACCCAAAGAAACCATTTCTCCAATCACTAGTCTCCTGGTCCCAGCACTAAGTTTGCACCAAAGAAGTATGTACTGGCGTCTTGGTTCTATTTATCCAATGTTCCCTTTTTGAGCACTTCCTCTTTCAGACCAGATCAGTGTCATTATGCACAGAACACAACCATTTAGAGCCAACAGTCTCTCTGAGGAGTCCTATTGTCCCACACAAGTCTTTGGACACCAGACAGTCATCGATCTCTCCTGAACTCAGTGCTTCCATTTCCCTGATTTCTGTTAGGCCTCTTCTGGTTCAGCTCAAATCAGGGATAGATTGCATTTCCTGTCTTTAGTGTTTTGCTCCTAAGCTAACCTGGGTTTTGGATAGTGATGGTGCTACTTACTTTTGTTTCACAGGATAGAGGTGAAGACAGTGGTTTTTTAAAAATACCTTAAGTCAAAGATGGTAGCAGAGGCTACGGTTTATTACTTCGTATGTCCCAAGGCTGCCTCTGAGGATGTAGTTACTCAAAGAGTACAATCATTCCCTGAGAGGCAGAGAACACAGTGTAGATAGCGATCGATTCCAACTGGCTTCCAACCAGGGAAGATCTCGATGGCGAAAATTCTAATCCTTTCTTGTTTTCCTCCAGTAGGAGTGTGACAATGCGTTTGACAATCTTACCACATGTCCTCACACTGTACCAGAAATTGGATTCCCTGAGGTAGATGAGAGGCAAGCAATGATGTCTAATTAATCACATCTTTGTGGACCAGGAACATGCTCAAGTTTGTATTGGCTCATCTCACAGTGCTGGGACTGGGCCCAGGATGAGCAGTAGAAATTCTGGATCTGGTTTAGAAGGGCGTGCTCCAGCATCAAGAACAACGGAACCAGTGAAGATCCCAGCCCCTAAGATAGAAGGAGCTCTGGCAGTTTGACTGAGTTTGATGCCCTCCTTATCGTTCAGCCTTGTACCGACCTAGGCTCTGACAGCCCTTCTTAGTTTCGCTAAGGCACTGCAGCAGGAACTGATGTAAAATTGGAGATGCTACTGGCTGTCAATACCTGGGAAGACCACGGAGGAGGAGATGTGAATTGCTGTCTCTTCCTGCTGAGGGGAGCAAGGAATTCTGGGGATTGGAGTTGAAAATCTCCATATAGAAGCTTCTGACTGATCACAGGATTTCACCTTGATAAATTTATATAGAGTTGAAAATATCAAAAGTGGAAATGCATTTGCTATACCTAACCTGCTGGGCAAGCTCCCTTAGCTGTACGGTACACGGGAGGGTGTCCGGGTTTCACCTGGTGGCTGACAGAAGCTGTGGCTCCATCTCACTATCCAGCATTTGAAGAGAGAATTGGATTGCATTTCATTAGCCTGGGAAAAGAGAGCATTAAAATTTGAAGTAAAGGTTCAGCTGAATGTTTGGCACTGTTGTAAAGTTAAAGAATCTTTTAAGTCAGGTACCTTCTGTGTTGCCTTTTTGACATCAAGAAATAAACTGTAGATAGATTAGAAACAAGAAAGAGAAAGCAGAGAAGAAGGGAGAAAAGAATCCCTAACACTCTGGTGACACTGTTGTGGCTCACTAAGGGAGATATTTGTCTTGGTTTTGTCTCCCTAACAGAAAGTAGTAATCTGGAGGGAAGAATTTAGAAAAATAGGCAAATCACATATTATCAATGGAGAAAGCAAAAGCCAAAGAAGACAATGCTGACACCTGAGAAGAAAGTTTTGTTTCATAACCCCTAGTTTGCTGTCTCTTTTAATGGATTTTTTTAAAGTCTGTATTTTAAAGAAAGACTTCCACTGATGCAAAAGTGAAGAATGTCAGTTTTAACGAAGATACTTGCTCTGTTGTAGACTTCTGTAGGCTACAAGGTCACAGTTCGCAGGGCGTGGTGTCCACATCCTGTCCACTTTTCTTTTCTCCCATGTTTGCATTTCCTGTACCTCTCCTACAATTTGCAGCTCCTCAGGAATCAGTGGCAGAGGCTTGGTGGGCTGAATAGCAATGTTTTCTCAGGCTGGAGGGGACACACTTTTCTGCTGAGCTCTGACTGTTTTCCAGGGCTACTTGGATCCCATGGAACGGAGGTGTACTGAGACTGGCCCAGGCAGATGAGGGAGTCCCCAGGCCTGTGCAGGAGCTGGCCTCTGGCTGGGATTCAGAACTGGGGTTCCCCTGAACCCTGAGAGCATAACCTTCTTCTCTTGGACTTTCCAGCTCCAATGGGCTTGACCTCTCTCTGAGCCTTTTCTTTGGTCTGGGTCTTCTTGCCTCTCATTTAATGATTTCCTGAGTTTTCTCTGTTCTTCTTGCTGATTCTTCATCACTGTATGACTTACAACTTTAGTTTATAGCCTTTAGCTTATATAGCTTTATAGCTTTAGCTCTTTCTACATCCCTTTGATCCAGGTTTCCACAGTTTGATTCTGTCTCAAGGAAGCCTCATCAGTGCAGGGTCTTCCCATGTAGCCTGTCCATGTAGAAGCTGCCCCTCAGTCCTATCTGTTGGGCAGGGATGCGGTGGAATCTTTAGTATAGCATTGCTTGGTCTTTGAAGGCAGAAAGGTTTGTGGGAGGGCCTGCCAGGGACTGACATTCCTTAATCCATGACCTCTTTGAGTTTAATCCATAATGATGACCCTTGAATTATTTTTTTGTGACTGAAAGAGAAACTAGATGGCAAACAATAACTTGTCAATATAACTGAACATTTCAGGACTCAAAGAGTGAAGTATAAGTTATGATTGTCTGAAGATCATTTTGGTAACCGGCTTCACCGGGCATCATTCTAGGATCAAGAATTCACTGTCCTTGGAATCACCTGGCCAAGCTTGAAATTGAGATCATTCTCTTTTCTTCTCCCCATTGGTTGGTGACCTTCCAGGGCCAGGCTGTGCAGGTCCTTTGCTCTGTGTCCCCTTTCCCTCTTCCTCCCACAGCAGACTTGGCTGAATTTGCTGCACTAGAAAATCCAGGCTCAGGGTGATCTTGGCCTTTCAAAGTCTGCAACAGGGCAGTATGATGAGAATTTCACAGTACTTAGGTTTTAGACCCCTCTCACATGCCTGTGGTTTGCACAACAATGTTAATGGATCCTTGAGGGTATTTTTCATGATCGGCAGATATCAACCTTCCCCAAGACCTCCCAGTCCAGCATTACCCTTCCACAGCTGCATTGCTGGCACTTGCCACACTCCTGTTCTTGCCTAAGCGGCTCCCAAGTTGTATCTGGAAGATTTCACATCCTCTCAAGGCAACCAGTGCCCACTCCCAGAGGTCCGTTAGTGCCCAGCACACAGGGCATGCCCAATAAGTACCTGTCCAACATTGAATGAAACTTGACTCTGGCTAGTGGAATCTTCTTGTGCATTCTGGATTTGGGATAATCTTATGCACTCTTCTGGGACTTTTGAATGGTGCTTTAATAATAACAATAACCAATATTTCTAGGAAAATTATGTATATGTCAATATTCCACTAAGGTCTTCAAAGCAATCTGTTTGTATCTCAGTGTTCTTTTTGACTAGCTAGACAGACACCCTCACCCTTCCAAATTCTCAGGTTCTACATCCATGGATTCACCCAATCAGACTATTTTTAAAAATTGTATCTGTAACAAACCTGCACACACATTTTTCCTTGTCACGTACTCTCACACGGTCTACAATGTATTACATTGTGTGAGGTAGTATAAGAAATCTAGCAATGATTTAAAGGGTACAAAGGGCTATGCCTGGGTTACATGGAGACATTATGCCATTTTACACAAAGGACATCCATGGGGATCCAGAGCCAATGTCCTAGTACTGAGAGACAAAGATACTGTGCTTGCAGACAGGAGACTGAGACTTGAGTTGTGAATGACCGCACAGACAGAGGCCAAGTGGTGGAGGCAGAGTCTGAACCAGACTGTGTGGTCCCAGACCCACGCTGGAAACCTCTGTGCCTGTGGTGACACCACTGCCCCTGGGTTACTCTGCTCTGCAGCTTTGGAGAATGCAGCTTGCAGATTTTTTTTAGAAGTCCTCCTGCTCTCTACTGGGAGTCTGAAAAGCATCTTTGACTCAAAAACAAAACAAAAAAGCAAACCCCAAGCCAGGGTGTTCTGCTGATGGAGGCATGCATGTTAAAAAAAATTATGGTTCTTATTTATTTGGGTATAAATTCAATTTCTTCCCCTCTTGTGTTTTTGTTGTTGGCGTTAGTGGTGGTATTGTTTTTAACTTATGCAATTAATACCAAAGTACATTTTTCATTCTCAGAGAAATAAACAAATTAGAATACATGAAGTAAACGATCAAAGGCTGCTTAACAGCCTGCTTTTCCATGTCAGGCAATCCCATTGTTTCCCTCAGAGATAACAATTGTGAGGAGTTTGGCGGGGATCACTCAAGCCCCTTCTCTGTGTATTCATACACACAGATGGTGGGGGAATGAAGTTCTCTTCGCACACAAATGACACACTCTGTGCATTGTTGCTATTTGATCTTTCCTCACAACAGATCCCACATCGTGGAGATCTTTTTCCTGGCTGCAAACAGATCAGCCTTATTCTATCTGAGAGCTTTGCAGTAGGTACTGCTCATTAACTCTTTCCTTTGTGGTGGGGTGGGAATGTGGGTTTTCCTCAGAAAAGCTTGCGAACGGAAGCTTTTTTACTTTTGTTTTTTTTTTTAAATTGTTACTATTATTTGTTTTAGCAAAATGCCCCAAACAAGAGCATTCCTTCTGTGTCAGAGTCACTGTTCCCTTTCGTGCACTCATATGGTTAGCTGTTGGTCTTTTCTGGAATATGGAAAGCAGGCCACTTTGTTCTGGTACAATTAGCCACTCACAATTGTGTCCCCTCACTTTCCCCTCCCGGCAGAGAGGCTGTTGTCACACTTGCTACCCAGTTGCATAATGGTCTCCCAGCCAGCACCCATTTCCGCCTGTTTGTCCTTCAGAGAGCCTGCCTCACTAGCACAGGGGTCATCACCCGTGTCTGACAGGTGGCACAGGATGGCGGGTATGTGCAGTACAATAAGTGTCATGCATGTATGTGTCACACGGTGGTGTGGTATGTGTGTAGGAGGGCCTGTGGCATGGAGGGTGTGCAGCGTTGCAGTGTGTGTAATACCAGCAGCATGGTGTGTGTGTGTGGCAGATGTGTGAGGTGCCGGGTATGTATGTTTTTGGTGTGGAATGGGAGTGTCAGGTTCCATGGTGTGTGTGTGTGTGTGTGTGTGTGTGTGTGTGTGTAATGTAGTATGGGCATGCGTGGATCCGGACACCCATGTGCCTGCTCTCTGTGAAGGAAGGAGACCGGGGGAGGGAGGTTTGCCCAGGGAAGGGCACAGGAGGGAGCCTTGTTCCCAGGCATCCCCGGGTCCTCACCCTTGTAAGGCTAATTCCCGTGAGGAAGGCACATGGCACCGCAACCTTGGGATCGCCTTCAGGGGAGAACTTGGTGGAGATGTCTGTCTTGGAGGCGTCTGTAGGGGAATGCTCTTCAACACGAGGCCCATCATTGAGCTTCACCGGTGGTTTTACCTGTTAGTGATGAGTCTTTTTATAACCTTTAAAGGCCCATTGGCTGCTCTGTTTCTTGTTATTACAGGGATCTACTCTATTGTAATGAGCCCAATGTTGTTTTTTTCTTAACTTGATGTAGAGTTAAAATTTTCTCTTCCATTAGCATCCTGAGTTTCCCAGAAGCAGTTTTTTTCTGTCCGTTGGTGTCCGCTTTGGTCATGAGTACTCAGTATGTTGAGGCTGGACAAGTCTACGGTCTGCTACTCAAGGTGATTACCCAAAGATGGCTCCAGTCCAGGGCTTTCAAGATACTTCAAGGTCGAGCTTTTATGATGCCAGAATGCTGAGTTTTCTCTGTGAAAGGCCACCAAGAAGAGTACTTTGGAGTTATGGTCACATAATATTTAAATCCTTCTTTCCTTCCCTCCCTAGTACACCATTTATTTTCCCTGAGAATGTAAGTGTTTACATTCTATATATTGCTGTATTTCCCTCCCACCCGCCTCTTTTTTTTTTTTTTTTTTTTTTTAATTTTGGTACTGGGGATTGAACTTACAACCTCATGCCTGACAGGCAAAGCACTGTGCCTCTAAGCTCTGTCCCCAGCCCTGTATTTCCCTTTGTTTAAACTATTTTTCCATGTGATATAAATAAACCACCTCATTGTTTAAAAAAGTTGTAGGAACATGCAGAGTGATTTTAGTCATTTTTTAAAAAAATTTTAACATATATGAAGGTTTGGACAGCTATTTTGAAGAGAATGAGAGACACTATGACAGCCATTGTTGACTTCCCTATTGTCTGGTTTTGAAGACCTAAAATGTCTTCATCATCCTGTTCAGATCAGTTTGGTACTATTTTGGTTTGTATGAATTCATTGTGTGTGAAGATATGGACAACTACTTGGAAGAAAACAAGAGGCAATATGATAGATAGTGAAGATCTATTGTCTTGCATTAAAATCTATGTCTCTTACATTGTTTTCTTCTAATCTGCTTTGTTCTGTTTTGCTGTGTTTAGTTTTATCCTCTTTAAAATAAAATTTAAAATAATTGTAGGAACATGTAATATAGGAAGTGAAAATTCCTTTTATGTGTTTATCTCAGAGATGACTTTGTTTTTCTTGGGTTTTTATCTACTCTTTTCATTTCTCTGAATATATACATTTGACAATATATTTGAAAATAGCCCACAGCATAGCTCACCTGTGACACCTCCCCTCCCTGACCCTTCACAACAAGGAGTCAGGTAAATTCGCATATTAATTTACACATTCATAAGTGGTAATTGCAGTTTCCAGAGCCTGAGACTCTGGATGATGACCAAAGTCAAAACAGTGTACTGAAGTTATTTTAATGGCTCTTCAGTACATTAAGATCAATGCATGGGCCCTGTGTGTTATGCATGGGGGGAATCCAAGCCCTTCACTCCATTTCTCTCTGAGGTTTGTAATGGGGTAAGGATGACTGCAGGAGATGGGTGGAGATGGAAAGACACTGTGACCTCAGTTCTCTACCGATTGGGCTTCAGGTGACCTCCTTCCCTCTCCAGATGTGCGTCTTGAGGAACAAGGTCTATCCATGGGCAGATCTGGCCCAGCCTGCTGGAAGGACAGTCTTTGGTGGCTAAGAACTGTGGGGATACCAGGGCCTCAGACATTGCAAAGCCCGAGCTTGGGCAGTCTATCAACTGAGTCAGGACCAGCAGCCAGGAACTTATACCAGTGCCCAGTCCAGCGGCCAGGCTTGGGGCCTGAGCGGGTAGCCCTTCCCTCCCAGAACGCCTGCATTTTTTGAGGATGGAGTGAATGTTTGTGTTTTCATGAGGCCATGCGAAAGGAATGCGCATTTTAGAAAAGAGCCCTATTTGTTAAAATGATAATTGCTAGAACGCTCTGCAGCCGTCCATACCCGCTCTTCCACATGCTCATGAAAGGCTAACACACAGTGACAGACTCTGGCCCCGATGATTTGTGCCCAAGGCCCCTCCAGAGGGGAGAATTTTGCTGTAATTTTGCCTATAATTTTTACTAGTGGCTTGGATTTTTCTTCGGCCACTGACTATTTCAAAGCAGCTCACTGGTTTAAATGGCATCCAAGAACTGACAAGACCCACGGGTTGCCCAGACTAACTACACAGAGGGAGCACGTTCATAGAATAATAAACAAGTATATAAATATACATAATTTATTTGGATCAATATCCGCGCCTGATTACCCCATGGGCTATTTTAGATGTTTCAAACCAAGCCTGGCTGGCCCTTGTAGACACCCCCTGAAGTCATTTCCTCAGGAAGTGACCTCATCTCCCCTGAGCAGGAGGGCTCCCTGTAGTGCCAGCCCCGGAGGGCTGCGATTCACTGCAGGTTTTCAGTTGCCCGTGCAGCTACGACCAGAGTCCTGGGACACCATCTGCCTCCTGTGTCTTTAAATTTGCTTGGTGTCAGGGGGCTCAAGGGAGCTCACATGGTGGGGAGAGGGGGGAGGTAGGGGGGAAGAACAGGCTTTGGGAACCTGGTTGCTTTCCGTGCTTTCTCAGGGTCATGAAAAGGAAGGCAGGAAGATGCCTGGTAGACTGGAACATCTGCATGTCTGGGCTTTCATCCTCTGGAAGTGTCAGCCTCCATTACTTGGATCTCCATGACAAGCAGTCATGCCAGAAAGTCCAAGGCAGAGGTTCTCTAGTCAGCCTCATGACCTAGTACAAATCTTCTTGTACACCTTACCAGCTGCAAGGACGCGGGCTGCTTACTTAACTTCTTTGTGCCTTAGATTTTCCTGCCTGCAGATTGAGGATGACAGGCCTTCTCGTCATGCTTGGAAGAGGCTGAGCCCCAAGCAGAACACAGGGGCAAATAACCAGCCACCTCAAAGAGGCAGGCAAACCAGCCCTGGAAGTGGAGGAAAGAACTGTTTGGCCACAGGTGACTGATGAAGAAGTCTGATAAAAGCGACTTTGTATAAGCTGCTCCTTAATTGCAGGGCAATTGTCTCTTGGTATCCATCAGGCACCGGTTCCAGGATCCCAGCAGATAACAAGCTCTGCAGATGCATAGGCTCCTTCTACAAAAATGGTCCAGTTTTTGCACAGAACTTGCACGAGCCTCCCACATACTTTTAAACACCTCTAGATCACTTGTGGTATCTAATGCAATATAAATGCCAGGTTACTAGTTGCTGTATTGTATTGTTTAGGGGTAATGACAAAAGAAAGTCTGTACATGTTCAGTGCAGACTGTTTTCTTCTTCCGAACCTGTGGTTGAATCCACAGATGCAGCTTTTCCCCCTCTCTGTCTGTTTCCTGGAAGCACCTCAGAGCACTGCGAATCAGCTCTCATCTTGCAATTGCCCTGGACTCTGGCCTCAGTGTGGCACCTGGACCCTCAGGGACTTCTATCTCATTCTCTCTCTGTCTTAAATGTTGTCAGAGCAATGCATGGCTTCCCTCTTGCAGTGACCCGACAGTAAGTCCTCCCAAGACTTGGTGCAGACCACTTGGCCATCTCAGGCATTCCCTCTCCTCTCCTCTCCTCTCCTCTCCTCTCCTCTCCTCTCCTCTCTTTTCCCCCCCCTTCCTGTCTTCTCTTCTCTCTTGCTCTCTCCTCCCCTCTCTTCTTTTCCTCTACTCTTTTCTTTTCCCTTTTCTTCTTGCAGTACTGGAGCTTGAACCCAGGGCTTTGACACTGAGCTACATCCTCAGTCTTTTTAGAATTTCTTATTTTGAGACAACCTCTAGTTAAATGGCCAAGTTGCCCAGGCTGGGCTTGAACTTGCAATCCTCCTGCATCTGCCTCACAGTATGCTGGGATTACAGGCCACCCTGACCGGCTGCAGGGGCCATTTTGCATCACCCAACATTCCCCTAAATCGCCTCACCTGCTCACTCTTCTCCCTCCTGCCTTCAGCTCCACACCTCCCAACACCAGTGGAGGGAAAATATCTTTTCCTTTAAAGCTCAGGATTTCCAGACATTATTGACATCTCAGGCTGGGTAATCCTTTGTTGTGGGTGTGGGGCTGTCCCTCGCATTGTAGGGTATTTGGCACGATGCCTGGCTTTTACCCACAAGATGCTAGTAGCTCGCTGCGTCCCAGCTATGACAACCAGAAATGTCTCCAGATAGCACAGTTACCTAGGGGAACGGGAGAATCACCCCTGGTTCAGAACTGCTGCCTTAAAAGAATGCAAACTGCTTTTAAAATTAGTCCAAGCACAGAGATGGGGTGGGGGGAGGCAGGCACGTGTGGATGTGTGGAGAGAACACATCACAAAAACTGGTTGTGTGGGGCTGGGGATTTAGCTCAGCGGCATAAGCACCTGCCTTACAAGCAGGCAGTTGTGAGTTCAATCCCCCATACCGATAAAAAACAAACAAACAACAACAACAAAAAAAAACTGGTCGTGTGTGTGTGTGTGTGTGTGTGTGTGTGTGTGTGTGTGATGAGCATTTTTCTGTTTCTAGGGAAGATTCCAGGCCTCTCTTATCGCTCCTTCCACCTAGGTCCATGCTAAGAAAGAGGGATTCTGAGAACAGACGGAGGGCGATGGGGAACCCTCAAGATCATGACCTCTGTGGAGCAGGTACAGTCTTCAGTTGCAACTTCGGAAAGAGAAGGTTCTTTTCATTGTTCTTTTTCTTCCCTCCTGGCTCTTCCTAGTGTGGCTGATGGAGAGATGAAGAATTCAGGAGGGCCACAGCAGGCTCAGAACAGAGGTGGCATCAGGTGGCAGGAGACCGATTCTGAACTCAGCCTTTGTGGGGAAGAGCGCTTCTTCCCCTTCCTCACTGGCTTCACCCTGCGGACTGGGGCTGGCTCTACCCAGATGCCCAGGGCCCAGGTGCTGGAGAGCAGGCTCCACCTCAGAGATGCCATCAGCAGGAGGGAAGGCCACCCAGCCAGCCAGACCTCATTCCCTGGGAGCTGGGACAGGAGAAGGGAGGGATGTAGAAAAAAGAAGCAGTTAATGGGTGGACAGAGCCAAATAGTACACGTCTAGGAATACGGGCTGGGTGAGAAGCCACAAAGCAGCAGCAGCTACGGACAGGAGGGTATGGAGGATGAACAATAGCACGTAGCAGCCATGGTTTCAGAATGTTAGGTGGAAAATTCTAGAAAGAATAAGTTTTCAATTGCAGAGCATTCCGAATAGCATGACGAAATCTTTCATCTTTGTCCTGAACTACTGTAAACCTTAGTAGCCATCTCAGTTACCAGACTGGCTGTCACAGTATCACAGCGCTTGTGTCTGGGGGCCCATCACTTCTTGTGGTCTCGGGACCCATTGCTGGTCTTGAAATGGATGCTCTGGGGATAAGAGGGGATTACTATGCCTGAGAGAGGTCCCAGAAGCCATCGGGGCTGCTTGAATGACTGGCAAGAGGCTGGATTCCATTTCTCAGTGAGGTTTGGAGAGGTAGTGAATTCCCATTGGAGGAGGCGATTGTGGTTATGTGTGAAATCCCCTAATGGGTGCTTCTCCAACTAGAACCTATAGATCTCTAGGGGCCCACAGACATGTTTCCTGCAATTTGCAAGTTTTCTGAGAATCACCCTGGTTTTGTGTTCTGGATGATTTACACTGGGTTTGGTCCAATACTGTAACCCCTGGCCATAGGTGACTACTGAGACTTGGAATTTGATTAGTAGACAGTCATGCTTCAAGTATGGAGCACACTAGATTTTGGAGGCTTAGAAAAAAACACATAAAATACCTTATTAGTAGTTTTTTTGTAGTCACTACCTGCTGAAATATTATTTTGGACATATTGGGTTAAATAAAATATATTACTAAAATTAATTTCATCTAACACTTTTAATTGTATTCATTAGTAAAAAAAAGAAAGCCCAGCTTTATCAAGCTGCAGTTGATAAGTAAATAATGTATACATTTAAGATACCCAACAAAATTAGCTGTTAGAAAATTTAAAATTACATATATGGCTCACACCATCTCTCCCTCCTGTCCTTCCTTCCTTTTCTTCCTTTCTTCCTTCCTTCCTTCCTTCCTTCCTTCCTTCCTTCCTTCCTTCCTTCCTTCCTTCCTTTTCTCTTTTCTCCCCACCATTG